CCCTACATCGCTGTTTTGGCTGTTGACTTCCAAACAAGGAAAGTTTTAGCCTTAAATTCCTTCCAACGGTCAGGTACCTACATCGATGTTCATTACTTGAACATCGCTGTTTAGGTCTGACTTTGAAGGTGGAAAGTTTGGCCTGACAGCGCTGTTGCTGGGTCAACATCGCTGTTCAAAAACTTTCTGCCAGAGGCATTTCTTTTTGGCTTAGGTTGGACAGCGATGTAGGGTAGTCTACATCGCTGTTCCAGATGTTTCTGGAAACCCAACCTTGGCTCAACAGCGATGTCTAACATCCAACATCGCTGTTGGAAGACTTAACGCCAAACCATGGTTTTCAGCCACCCAAGCCAGACAGCGCTGTTGGTTTCACCAATCATTAAAAGTTGAAAACCACTTGGTTGGTTCGGACGCCAAAAACCAACGCCGATAACCAAAAGCTGAACGCCGGTTTTCGAAGACCGAACGCCGGATGGCTTGGTTTTTGGTTTGGGCGAACTCCAAGTGTTTTTAGGCAGGTTTAAGACTTAAGAAAATCATTTTGAATATGCAAAAAGTATTTTGATGAAATGAGCCTAGAGAGCCATGTTTTGAAAGTTTGTGCCGGTCAATATAATTCTAAGTCTTCGTTCTTGATTCTTGGTTCTTGGTTCTCAGTTCATCATGCCATGTGTCCTTCGCCTTGGTTTTGCTCAGTTAACTTTGTTATTGTCACGGCGGTTTGGCATTATCAAAACCTGTCATAAAACGAACACGGCTTAGTACGACATAGGCGTAAACCCATGTTCCAACAATTTCCCCCTTTTTGATAATGGCAAACAAGACGGGGATATGCATACTAGGGGATATTTGACTTTGAAAAGTGTGAAAAAAACTTCCCCCTTAATTTGTGCTTTTAAAAAATAGTCATATTAAAATCAAATGATCCCGTTTTTAGGGACGTTCCCCCTTAGTGTATGCATAACCCTTTTCTTCCCCCTTTTGACATTAACAAAAAGATAAAAGATAATTTTAATTATTAAATTGGGAAAAAGCGGAGTACAATGGAAGTATTAAAAAACATGATAATTAAAATAAAAGAGATAGAGATTCTAGGGGCGTCCTAGTCTTCGTCTTGCTCCTCTTCGCCTTTGGTTTCTTCGTCATCGTCGACGTCCATCTCATCCCCATCGATGGCATCGTCGAACTCATCTTCGTCCGAAGAGCTTGACGGGACGTAGGAGGCATCGTCTTCGTCCTCGTCACCGTACACTTGCCCAAAAACGTGCCATGGTACGGTGGGGGGACGTAGTTAATGCGTTGGAAGTACGCGTTCATGGCGTACCCTTGGCGTTGGACCGCCTCGTCAAGCCTCTCAAGGTAGCCATCCATCCCGTCAACTTTGAAGTGCAGCCGGTTGAGGGAGTCGGTGATGGAGGCGAGGTTGGCCCGGGCCTGGGGTTCGGCTGGGCCAGCGGCAGGGGCAGTGCAGCGTGGTGTGGTAGTGGCAGGCACGGCGTTGTCCAACCGCTTTGTGAAGGTTTGGGCGCTGATCGTCCAAAGCTTCGTGGCCTTCGTGAGCGAGCCAACGGTGGTGGTTACCTTGAACCGTTAAAGGATGTCCATCACCACGGTATGGGAGGAGGTGGTCGTGGTCAGTGGACGCGGCAATCGTCATGTTGATCATGACAAACTTTGCCCAATTGATTGGGGCCGAGTGCATGATCGCATGGATGAGCTTGAGGTCCTCACCGGACATGATTGTGTGGTCGTGCTTCTGGGGTTTGATGATCCGGGACACGATGTAGAGAACGAGACGGCCTTCGGGGTTAGCGGAGTGGATGGTGGGGCGTCCCGAGGCATGGCGGATGAGCTCGGTGATGCCAAGCTCGTTGAGGATAAGGCCCTCGTTGTTGAGCACCCAGTCCTCTCCGCCATAGTGAGAGACGTCTTTGCCTTGGAAGGGGAGGCCGGCGATGCGCCCAAGCTGCTCAACGGAGAGCTCAATCGGCGTGCTCTTGACAAGGGAGTAGAGCACGTCGTCCTCACTCCGGAGGTTTGAGTAGAAGGCCCGGATCAGCGCCGGGTTGATCTCCTTTCGAGCCCGGGAGACGAACGGCCAAAGGTCGGCTTGATGAAGCTGCGCGTCAAGGTCGTCGTAGCCCTGCAGCTCCGGGTAGCGCTCCGGGATGATTCGTGGGGGAGCCACAACCCGTTTAGAGAAAAAGGTGAGAAATCGGGTGCGCTCCTCCTCGGAATCGAACCAGAGGTACGACCCATCGCCGTAGTAGAGGCATTCCTCGGAGGTCGTGGATGGAGCCCGGGATTTGGACTTGGATTTTCCGGAAGTGCCTGCCCTGCTCTTGTCTTTGCCCATGGTGATGAAGAAATCTCAAGAAAAAAATGATAGAGAAGATAAATTATGCAAGGAGATTGAAGAGATTTGTGTTTGTGTGTGTAAAAGTGTGAAGAAGAGGTCTAAATATATAGGGAGAGGGGTACCCTACGTTCAAAATTCAAAAAAAAACATGGCTGTTGGAGTAATTAATGCAGGTGCAACGGATATTTTTTTTAAAAAATTTGACTAGAACAGCGATGTTCTACAGGCGACATCGCTGTTGGGACAGCGCTGTTGTGCCTTGTACAGCGCTGTTCTGCGTCAAGTTTTTAAAATAGAGGAGTCAAATGGACAGCGATGTTGGGTACCCTACAACGATGTTCCAAAAGTTTCTGGAATTGTGTGAGGGTTTGAACCCATTAGAACAGCGCTGTTGGGTTTCTCTACATCGCTGTTTTACGATAAAAAAAATTTGTACAAATAGACAGTGCTGTTGCGATGGTGGACAGCGCTGTTTGAAAGGTTTTGTGAGTTCACTTCGAATGCGGAAGAACGACTCTTTCTCTAAAGGTTTTGTGAAAATGTCGGCTAATTGGTTGTGTGTTTCAATAAACTCAATTTCGACATCACCTTTGAGAACATGATCTCTAATGAAATGATGCCTAATGTCAATGTGTTTCGTCCTTGAGTGAAGAACGGGGTTCTTCGTCAAGCTTATGGTGCTAGTATTATCACAACGAAGAGGGACGTGGTTGATACTAAGGCCATAGTCCACGAGTTGTTGTTTCATCCAAAGGATTTGAGCACAACAACTACCGGCGGCTAAATATTCCGCTTCGGTTGTGGATAACGCGACACTGACTTGTTTCTTACTAAACCATGAGACTAGAGAGCTACCAAGTAAGTGGCAAGTCCCACTCGTACTTTTACAGTCTAATTTTCAACCGGCAAAGTCCGAGTCGGAATAACCGACGAGATGACAAGAAGAACCTTTTGGATACCACAGTCCAACGTTAACCGTGCCAAAAAGGTATTTCATGATCCGTTTCACCGCGGTTAAGTGCGATTCCTTTGGACACGATTGATACCTCGCGCAAAGGCATACGCTAAACATGATATCCGGCCTACTAGCGGTATGATAGAGAAGGGATCTGATCATACCTCGATACTTTTTTACTTCTATTTCTTTACCTTTCTCGTCTTTGTCTAGATGGTCGGACGTGCTCATCGGGGTTGCCATGGCTTTGGCGTTGTCCATTTCGAATCGTTTTAGGAGCTCCTTGCAGTATTTGGTTTGGCAGATGAACGTGCCATCTTTCATTTGCTTGACTTGGAGTCCCAAAAAGAATTTAAGCTCACCCATCATGGACATTTCAAATTCGCTTGTCATTAGCGTTGAGAATTCCTTGCACAAAGACTCATTAGTAGCACCGAATATAATATTGTCTACATAAACTTGAACCAAAAGGATGTTATTTTTTTACTCTTGATAAAAAGTGTGGTGTCTACCTTTCCCCTTTGGAAACCACTATCCAAAATAAATTTACTCAAACGTTCGTACCAAGCACGGGGTGCTTGTTTAAGACCATAGAGCGCCTTCTTGAGTTTGAAGACATGATCAGGAAACTCAAAATCTTCAAACCCCGGGGGCTGGTCAACATACACTTCCTCTTGAATAAAACAATTGAGGAAGGCACTCTTAACATCCATTTGATAAAGTTTAAAATCCATAGACGAAGCAAAAGCAAGAAGTAAACGAATAGCTTCTAAACGTGCTACGGGTGCACAGGTTTCCTCAAAATCAATGCCTTCTTCTTGATTGTAGCCTTTAGCTACGAGCCTAGCTTTGTTTCTAGTGATTATTGCATTTTCATCAAGTTTGTTACGGAACACACATTTCGTACCAATAATCGTACGATCATCGGGCCTTGGCACCAATTCCCAAATGTCATTCCGTTTGAATTGGTTTAGCTCATCTTGCATAGCCAAGGTCCAATGTTCATCGTTTATTGCTTCGGAAATGGTTGTAGGTTCAATTTGAGAAACAAAAGCCATGTGACCTACGGTGTTCCTAAGAGAATTACGAGTACTTACCCCGCGGTTGATGCTGCCGATTACCTAGTCAAGTGGATGGTTCTTGTGCGTTCTCCAAGCGATGGGAAGCTCGGTTTCCTCTAGTTCCTGGTCTTCCTCGTGTTCTTCTTCGTCCGCTTGATCCTCATTTTCGACCATCACTTGAGGTGTTTCCTCAGGTTGTGGTTGCGGGTTGGTATATAATGGTGTGTCTTCCTCATCGTCTTTAATGTGAATTCTTTCAAGTGAGTCTGCAAGATTATCACAAATAGCCTTTCTCGCCAAGCGAGTATTATCTTCGGAAAACACAACATGAGGGGACTCTCCTAAATGGTCAAAGTACGTTTATTAAACACTCTATAGGCCTTGCTACGAAGTGAGTAACCGAGAAAAATCCATTCGTCCGACTTGGCATCAAATTTTCCCAAGTTATCTTTGCAGTTATTATGAATAAAACATTTTCAACCAAAGACTCGAAGATGGGAAAGGTTTGGCTTTCTCCCTTTGTATAGTTCATAGGGCGTTTTCATGAGTATCGGTCGAATGACGGCTCGGTTTAACACGTAGCTCGCGGTACTCACGGCATCCGCCCAAAAATACTTAGGGATTTTTGCCTCATTGATCATAGTTCTAGCCATCTCTTCGAGACATCTATTTTTACGTTCCACCACTCCATTTTGTTGTGGTGTACGTGGAGCTGAGAAGTTATGATCAATGCCAAGTTCGTCACACAAATCTGAAAATAGATTTCGTTCGAACTCTCCCCCATGGTCACTCCTTATGGCTACTATGGTTGCCTCTTTTTCATTTTGAACTTTCTTTAGAAAATTTTTGAAAACATGAAATGCTTCACTTTTATGAGTAAGAAACAAGGTCCATGTAAACCTAGAGTAGTCATCGACAATCACAAACGCAAAGTAGTTGCCACAAAAACTTTTCGTTCTAGAAGGACCAAAGAGATCCATGTGCAAAAGTTGAAGCGGTCTAGACGTTGAAACAACGTTTTTAGACTTGAACGAAGCCCGAACTTGCTTCCCCTTTTGACACGCATCACATATGGTGTCTTTTTCAAACTTAAGTTTTGGAATGCCAATTACTAAGTCTTGTGAAACCAATTTATTCAAAAGGTTCATGTTCATATGAGCTACCCTTCGGTGCCATAACCAAGTGCCTTCCTCTTTACTCATGAGGCACTTAGCAAAGCCGGAGGGAGATTTGTCTAAGTTAACCATATAAATGTTATCGATCCTATCACCACGTAGAATGACCTTATTGTCACTAAGGCGTTCTACTGTGCATGATTTTGAATCAAAGGTCACACGGTTTCCCTTGTCACATAATTGACTTATGCTCAAGAGATTGTGTTTAAGACCTTTAACAAGCAAGACATTATCTATAGAGGAGTCTTCGGACGTACCTACTGAACCAACGCCGATAATTTTTCCTTTGTTATTATCTCCAAAGACTATGTTTCCTCCTTTAGCGGGTTTGATTTGGAGAAACTTGGATGCATCCCCGGTCATGTGCTTGGAGCATCCGCTATCAAGGTACCAAAGTACACTTGATGCCTTCAAGCACACCTATGAATCACATCAATGAGTTTTAGGTACCCAATTTACGTTGGGTCCTCGTGTGTTAGGTGTGTGATGGTAGTGTGCTTGATTTTGTGATAGATGCCTATGCCTAGTGTAACAAACGGGAGCAATATGGCCTATCCTATTGCAATAATGGCAAACTACGTTGGGGTTGTACATATGCCTAGGTTCATAATAGTTCGAAGGCTTAACCATTTTGTTCCTATTTTGTGAAAACGATGGTTTTTGGAAATTTTGAAACTGGCCTTTTCTAGGTGCTCTAGCATTATTTCTTCTAATTTGAGAAAATTCATTTTTATGCACAAAATCATTTTTATTAGGTTTTCTACCATGACCATTTTCATTCCTAGGTTTTAGTCTAGGTTGTCTAGTGTCCTTAGGTTGACTAGGTTTTCTATTATCTTGATTTTTAGGTTTCTTATGTTGAACCTTAGATGGTTGTCTAGGTGGTGGCTCAACACTATCTTTAGCTTTATTTTTATCAAAACCTGTTCCTTCCTTAGAAAAATGCATAGTGTCAAGAAGTAAATTTAAATCTTTGTGAGGAGTATTAAATTTCTTGACCGTGCTCTCACGTTTAGCGACTTGCTCTTTTAAAGTTTTACAAGACCCACATTCACTTGATGAGCTTTCTGGTTTGTCAGTGCTTCTTTTTCCAAAAAAATTGTTTTCTTGTTTAAGTATTTCATTTTCTTTTTCCAATTTTTCAAAATCGTTTTCAAGTTAGGAAAGACGTTTCTTCAAAGACTTATTTGCTTTAGAAGCGCTAACAAATTCCTCATAAAGTTCATGAAGTGCTTCTTGCATTTCTTCAAAAGTATAGGAGTCGGAAGAAATGGTACATACCTCTTGGACGTTGTCGTTTTGATCTTCGTGCGCCATGAGGCAGAGATTTGCAGCTTCGTCCTCCTCTTGGTCGGTTGATTCGTCGCCGGAATCGCCACCCCAAGAGATGTAAGCCCTTTGCTTCTTGAAGCCGGGCTTGTCCTTGCCGTGTTTGGCTTTTGGACACCTTGGCTTGATGTGACCAATCTCGCCACAGCCATAGCACTTGGGAGGACCGTCGTGCTTCCTTCCCTTCCGCTCAAATTCCTTCTTCATGAACTTGTGGAACTTCTTGATGACGAGTCCAAATTCGTTGTCGTCATCGCTTGAAAC